TCACTCCCTCCCTCACCCCCTCTGTTCCCATGGATTTCCCAGGCCTGCTCTCCCAGGGTGTTTGACCCGACTTCATGCCCCTCTCTGCCCTCTTTCTGCCCCTCTTGGTGCTTCCTGCCCCCTGCTGCAGCTACACAGGCTCTTATTGTAGCTGAGCCTACGCCTGTCACTGCCCGTCACACACACACACACACACACACACACACACACACACACACACACACACACTGAGTCGATTTAATAAGTTGATTACAGTAATTAAAATGTTCCTGATGGTTATAAAGTAAGATAAATGAAATCCTATAGAAACAAATATTATTAAATATAATAAACTTTTCTTGTGTTGAGCAGAAGAATCTACCAATCTAATCAACCTTAACACGAAAACAAAGACACACATGTCAGCAAGTTGTGTTCAAACTCAGTTATTTAAGATTTTTGGGACTATCAACTGAAGTTTTATAGTATTTAGTATTTTAACTGTTTCATATATTTCACATATAAAACATACGATGGATGTAGAAAGGATTCAGTAAAAGCTGAAATGTAGTGGACTAAAAAGAGAAGTAATATTATTTAAGTGTGTGTGTGTGTGTGTGTGTGTGTGTGTGTGTGTGTGTGTGTGTGTGTGCTGTGGTGGGAAACACAGCGGTGCTTCCTGATCTTGATAGAGCTTAACAAGGGTGGAGAACCATATCTCTCTCGGTGTGTGTGTGAGAGAGAGAGGTGTGTGTGTGTGTGTGTGTGTGTGTGTGTGTGTGTGTGTGTGTGTGAGTGTGCAGGGTCTCATATCGTCGTGGCGATCGCGTTCAACAACAGAGGGAAGTGGTTCAGAGCTGAAGGCCATTGTATCTGTGATGTTGTGAGTGTGTGTGTTTGAGCTGAAACCGGTTGATCCTGTCAGCTTCAGTGTGTGTGTGTGTGTGTGTGTGTGTGTGTGTGTGTGTGTGTGTGTGTGTGTGTGTGAACCCTAAATATGAACCCTGTTTGTCTCCTGATGAGTGTGAACAGGATCTGTAAACCCTCCACATAAACTGGGCTGAACGTCTCCCATTGGGGTGTTTTGAAGCCTCCAGTTCGGCTTTATATTCGCCACCATGTTGGTTTTTGTTGGAGCCAGCGGAGGTCACGTAAAGCGAGTTGAGCTGCTCTCATTGGCTGGTTTGGACTGGTGCATAGCAGGAAACAATGATGGCTCTGCTGCTCGCACACAGTCTGTCCTGTGTGTCAGTGAACGTATTCTCACTGCCACACAGCATCAATTCTAACTGCAGCGAGTACAGACCGACTTTATTGATGTTTCAGTATCGATTATAACGATGTGCTACAAAGCCAAGTCAGAAAGCTAATGGTAACCACGGTGACGGGACAATATCTCTGATCATTAACTAACCTGTGAGGAACTGACTATCAGTTATTGATTCTCTGGTGTCGACTGTAACCCCCGACTGAACTCACACAGCAGCAACACTCACTTATTTCTGCTTACACAAAGTTTCAGTGCTTTTACTTTACACACACACACACACACACACACACACACACACACACACACACACACACACACACACACACCCTTCCTTTGGTGACTGAGGGGGAAATCCAGCCGAATGGAGTCACACACTGTTATTACTGAACACACACACACACACACACACACACACACTCCCTCAGAGACTCATTTTCCTCTCGCGCCATCAACAGTTTAATGTTTAATATTTCACCATCAGGTCAACGTTTAATGAGATTCGGCTCTACTTTATGTTTAGTGAGTGAATGAAGATGTGAGTCACGAGTCCTTTCTGCTGCTAGCTAGTGCGAGCTGTGGAGACGAGGCGAGACCACGTGCTGTCCAACTCGTGTCCTAGAAGCACCGATCTGCTTAAAGCAACCCAGAGCAGATCGCACTGGCAGGAAGTCCAGTCAATTTTTTGGGAGACGTGAGATCGTATGTGACCAGGCGAGCCACCATTGTTTCCTGTTACAGATGAGTCGAAACTGAGCAACCAATGAGAGCAGCTCAACACGCAGTACGTGACCTCCGCTGGCTCCAACAAACTGACATGGCAATGACCATAATACCGAACTAGAGGCTTCAGACTGTTGGACTGGTGGAGGACTGTTGGACTAGGACTGGTTGTGGACTGGTGGAGGACTGTCTGTGCTGGTGGAGGACTGTTGGACTGGTGGAGGACTGGTGGACTGGTGGAGGACTGTTGGACTGGTGGACTGGTGGAGGACTGTTGAACTGGTGGAGGACTGTTGGACTGGTGGACTGGTGGAGGACTGTTGAACTGGTGGAGGACTGTTTGTGCTGGAGGAGGACTGTTGGACTGGTGGACTGGTGGAGGACTGTTGAACTGGTGTAGGACTGTTGGACTGGTGGACTGGTGGAGGACTGTTGAACTGGTGTAGGACTGTTGGACTGGTGGACTGGTGGAGGACTGTTGAACTGGTGGAGGACTGTTGAACTGGTGGAGGACTGGTGGACTGGTGGAGGACTGTTGGACTGGTGGACTGGTGGAGGACTGTTGAACTGGTGGAGGACTGTTGAACTGGTGGAGGACTGTTGGACTGGTGGAGGACTGTTGGACTGGTGGAGGACTGTTGGACTGGTGGAGGACTGTTGGACTAGGACTGGTTGTGGACTGGTGGAGGACTGTTTGTGCTGGTGGAAGACTGTTGGACTGGTGGAGGACTGGTGGACTGGTGGAGGACTGTTGGACTGGTGGACTGGTGGACTGGTGGTGGACTGTTGAACTGGTGGAGGACTGTTGGACTGGTGGAGGACTATTGGACTGGTGGAGGACTGTTGGACTGGTGGAGGACTGTTGGACTGGTGGACTGGTGGAGAACTGTTTGTGTTGGAGGAGGACTGTTGGACTGGTGGACTGGTGGAGGACTGTTGAACTGGTGTAGGACTGTTGGACTGGTGGACTGGTGGAGGACTGTTGAGTGGTGGAGGACTGTTGGACTGGTGGAGGACTGTTGGACTGGTGGAGTGGTGGAGGACTGTTGGACTGGTGGAGGACTGTTGGACTGGTGGACTGGTGGAGGACTGTTTGTGTTGGTGGAGTGGTGGAGGACTGTTGGACTGGTGGAGGACTGTTGGACTGTTGGAGGACTGTTTGTGTTGGTGGAGGACTGATGGACTGGTGGAGTGGTGGAGGACTGTTGGACTGGTGGACTGGTGGAGGACTGATGGACTGGTGGAGTGGTGGAGGACTGTTGGACTGTTGGACTGGTGGAGGACTGTTGGACTGGTGGAGTGGTGGAGGACTGTTGGACTGGTGGAGGACTGTTGAACTGGTGGAGGACTGTTGGACTGGTGGACTGGTGGAAGACTGTTTGTGTTGGTGGAGTGGTGGAGGACTGTTGGACTGGTGGAGGACTGTTGGACTGTTGGACTGGTGGAGGACTGTTTGTGTTGGTGGAGGACTGATGGACTGGTGGAGTGGTGGAGGACTGTTGGACTGGTGGACTGGTGGAGGACTGTTGGACTGGTGGAGTGGTGGAGGACTGTTGGACTGATGGAGGACTGTTGGACTGTTGGACTGGTGGAGGACTGTTGGACTGGTGGAGTGGTGGAGGACTGTTGGACTGGTGGAGGACTGTTGGACTGGTGGACTGGTGGAGGACTGTTTGACTGTTGGACTGGTGGAGGACTGTTGGACTGGTGGAGGACTGTTGGAGGACTGTTGGACTGGTGGAGAACTGTTTGTGCTGGAGGA